AGGAGAATTGCTTGAACCTGGGAGGCGGAGGTTGCAGTGAGCCAAGATCACTCCACTGCACTCCAGCCTGGGCAACAGAGTAAGACTCTATCTCAGAAAAAAAAAACAACCAACCAAACAAAAAGACACACACACACCCAGGGTGATTGCTATGTAAATCAAATATAGCTTTACCAATCAGCTTGCTTCTCTTAATCCCTCATAGAAATCCTGGAGCAGCTGTGGGGTTCAGTGAGACCGGACTCCAGGAAGGGAATGGGTGGGATGGGTCTGGGCACTGGTGAGCAGTGGGGAGAGGAAGTAGGTTAGCTTCTAGGCTGAGGAGGGCTCCTGGAGGCTTATTCTGGGTAAAAGCTGGTCTTCTCGAACCTCGGAAGGTGGGGGAACCCACATCCTGGTCTCACCCGCCCAACCGCCCACTCACCCTCGGGTTAGCAGCCATCTAAGCCCCACCCTCCCCCTCACACACTTAGGTAGGCTGCCGCAAGCTGGCCTCTTGTCCTCCTAGAGACAGACATCACCACCAGCAGCGTCCTCTCTCCTCAGGGAGGCATGCATTTGATGCTCGAGGTCCCTGGCAGTTGTGATTGTTTCCAAGTGATGTGTGAGTCCTGTGTGTCATTGGAAGCTCCCTGTCCCCATCTGGTGACCAAAAGCCTGGCTACAAGTAGTGAGTCCTCCCTCCTCCACCCAGACCTCACTGCTCAGATCCCCTTCGCCAACTGGGACATCTTCCGACATGGCCTGGATGCTGTTGCTCATCTTGATCATGGTCAATCCAGGTGACAGGGCGTGTGCTCAGGGCTCCAAGGAGTGTGGGTGGGAGGAGGAAGATCCAGGAGGTTGGACTAGATGCTATAGGGAGCAAGCTTGGGGGTGGCGAAACACCCAGTTCTGAGGGAGGAGTGGGGCCTCTCCAAGGACACTTGGTGGATTCCCCAATTCACAGACTCTCTGTGTCACCCACTGTGAGGCTTTTTAGCTAGGGTCTAGACATATAATTAGGAGTTTGAGAGATCCAAGTAAATCTGTGATAAATTTCTTGGTGAAACTGTTTTTTATTTAATTATTTTTTTGAGATGGAATCTTGCTTTGCTGCCCAGGCTGGCGTGCAATGGTGCAATCTTGGGTCACTTCAACCTCCCGTGTTCAAGCGATTCTCCTGTCTCAGCTTCCAGAGTAGCTGGCACACACCACCACACCTGGCTAGTTGTTTTTGTTGTTTGTTTTGTTTTGAGACAGTCTTGCTCTGTTGCCCAGGCTGGAGTGCAGTGGCATGATCTTGACTCACTGCAATCTCTGCCTCCCAGGTTCAAGCAATTCCTGCCTTAGCCTCCAGAGTAGATGGAATTACAGGCACGTGTCACCGCACCTAGCTAATTTTTGCATTTTTAGTAGAGACAGGGTTTCCCCATGTTGGCCAGGCTGGTCTCGAACTCCTGACCTCAGGTGATCTGCCTGTCTTGGCCTCCCAAAGTGCTAGGATTATAGATCCCAGCCATTTTTATATTTTCAGTAGAGATGGGGTTTTGCTATGTTGGCCAGGCTGGTTTCGAACTCCTTATCTCAAGTGATCTGCTTGCCTTGGCCTCCCAAAGTGCTGTGATTACAGGCATGAGCCACTGCGCCCTGCCTGATGAAACTGTTTTTTTTCTTTTTTTTTTTTTTTTTTTTTGAGACAGCCTCCTTCTACTGCCCAGGCTGGAGTGTAGTGGCGCTATCTTGGCTCACTGTAGCCTCCACCTCCCGGGTACAAGTGATTCACCTGCCTCAGCCCCCCAAGTAGCTGGGATTATAGGTTCATGTCATTACTGCTGCCTAACTTTTGTATTTTTAGTAGAGACGAGGTTTCACTATGTTGGTCAGGCTGGTCTCAAACTCCTGACCTTAGGTGATCCACTCTCTTTGGCCTCCCAAAGTGCTGGGATTACAGGCATGAGCCACTGCACCTGGCTAAAACTGTTTTTAATGAACTGAGAGACATTAACTAACAGGCATATTCATTGACAAAATGCAGGAGTTCTCAAAATGTGGATTCCTGGGAACCTGGGACAAATTCTCAGGCCCCACTTCAGACCTACTGAATTGAAAACTCTAGGGGTGGGCCCAGGAATCTGTTTTTTAGCAAATGCTCCAGGTAATTTCCATATACACTCAAGTTTGAGAACCACTGAATGACTTGTAAATGGAATGACTCGTAAGTTTCCCTAAGTAGGTAATTTAATAAGGGATTTTAATATTGATTTAATTCAAATTCATCAATATGGATGAGTTAAATAGGAATCTCAACCAATTAAGGTCATGTCTTCACCTGGAGACTTAATTAGTTAATGTTCTTTTTTTTTTTTTTTTTTTTTTGAGACAGAGTCTCGCTCTGTCGCCCAGGCTGGATTGCAGTGGCTCAATCTTGACTCACTGCAACCTCCACCTCCGGGATCCAAGCGATTCTCCTGCCTCAGCCTCCCAAGTAGCTGGAATTACAGGTGCCTGCCACCACACCTAGCTAATTTTTTTGTATTTTTAGTAGAGACTGGGTTTCACCATGTTGATCAGGCAGGTCTTGAACTCCTGACCTCATGATCTGCCTTCCTCGGCCTCCCAAAGTGCTGGGATTACAGGTGTGAGCCACTGCGCCCAGCTAGTTAACGCTTTTTAACAAAAAAACAGAGTGGCTGGGCGTGGTGGCTTACGCCGTAATCCCAGCACTTCGGGAGGCTGAGGGAGAAGGATCACTTGAGGTCAGGAGTTTGAGACCAGCCTGGCCAACATGGTGAAACTCCGTCTCTACTAAAAATACAAAAATTAGCTGGATATGGTGGCCCATGCCTGTAATCCTAGCTACTCAGGAGGCTGAGGCAGGAGAATCACTTGAATCCAGGAGGCGGGGGTTGTAGTGAGCCAAGATCGTGCCATTGCACTCCAGCCTGAGGGCAGCAGACAAGACTTTGCCTTGAAAAAAAAAAAGAAAAGAGAAAAAGAACAAGGATGGCTTACTATGCAATGCCTTTGGTACTAAAATAATACCTGGAATAATATAATTAGTGATGTTAGTTAACTAGGCAGCTGCATTCATTAATAAGCTTAATTTCACTGTGATGGTTTACATTTTAGCTAGACAAGTTACTACTGAGCTGGCTGGAGAATGATGGCAGAGGGTGAGAGTGAGAGTTGGTATGGGAAGAATTTGAAAAATGATTTAATAAGCAATGTTAAGTAATCAGATTGGTTGGGCCAGGTGCTGTGGCTCACATCTGTAATCCCAGCACTTTGGGAGGCCAAGGCGGGCAGATCACAAGATAGTTAGAAACCAGACTGACCAACATGGTGAAACCCCGTCTCTACTAAAAATACAAAAATTAGCTGGGTGTGATGGTACACACCTGTAATCCCAGCTACTTGGGAGGCTGAGGCAGGAGAATCACTCTTAGCCGGGAGGCAGAGTTTGCAGTGAGTGGAGATCACACCACTGTACTCCACCCTGGGCCACAGAGTGAGGCTCCAACTCAAAAAAAAGAAAAAGAAGGAAAGAAGAAAGAAAGAAAGAAAGAGAGAGAGAGAGAAAGGAAAGAAAGAAAATAAATAAATAAATAAATCAGATTGGTTAAGACGAAAGGGTTTCATGAGGCACCCAAAGTGTCTATTCCATGAACCCTATACCCGAGACAGCTGGGATGTTCTACTCCAAGCTCACCTGTCTTTCCTGTTTGGAGTAACTCAGGAGGCTTTTCTCTGGGTCTTCCTTCTGCTTCCAGGATCCTGTGCTCTCTGGGTGTCCCAGCCCCCTGAGATTCATACCCTGGAAGGATCCTCTGCCTTTCTGCCCTGCTCCTTCAATGCCAGCAGAGGGAAACTGGCCATTGGCTCCGTCATGTGGTTCCGAGATGAGGTGGCTTCAGGGAAGGAGGTGAGGAATGGAACCCCAGAGTTCAGGGGCCGCCTGGCCCCCCTTGCTTCTTCCCGTTTCCTCCATGACCACCAGGCTGAGATGCACATCTGGGACGTGCGAGGCCATGACGCCGGCATCTACTTGTGCAGGGTGGAGGTGCTGGGCCTCGGTGTCGGGACGGGGAATGGGACTCGGCTGGTGGTGGAGAAAGGTGAGATGCTGGGAGGTGGCATCTCTTCCTGGCTGGAGGCCCCAAGAGGCAATGTCCTTGGGAGTCACGGATCCTTCCCTGGGGTCCCTATCCTCCTGGGAAGAAGTGCACACAGAAGAAGCCTGTGTGCACTTCTTCCCCAACCCTCTTCTCCATTGCCCCGTGCAGAACACCCTCAGCTAGGGGCTGGTCCAGTCCTCCTCCTTCGGGCTGGATTCTATGCCATCAGCTTTCTTTCTGTGGCCGTGGGCAGCACCCTTTATTACCAGGGCAAATGTGAGTAATAGAGCCAGGGGCGATAGTGGACAAGATGGGAGGCGCAGTAAGAGAGTGGGAGGAGTGGGGACAGAGACCAGGAAGAGGAGAGCCTCGGGGGACTTCGACACTGAGCAGCTCCTATCCTTTCTCTGACCAGGCCACTGTCACATGGGAACATGCTCCCAGTCCTCAGATGGCCCCTGAGGAGTGATCCCAGGGCCCAGTGATCGCCAGTTCTCTTCAAAAGACCCCAATAAATTGCTCTCTGCCCCACCACTAACTCCTCCTTATGAGTTTCATGTGTTTTCTTCTCCATTCTCCAGATGCCCAATCTCCCCTCTCCGGATTCCCCCAACTCTGAACTCTCCCTTCCACCAGGTCTAACCTGGAAAGGTCCAAGAAGGCAGCTTCCGGCTGTGGTGCCCAGGGCCCCTCCCACCGCCATGTGGGGGCTCAGCACACCTGCTTCCCCAGACCCAGGAGGCTGAGCCTGATTGTCCTGAGAAGTGGGAAGGATCAGATATGACCCCTCCTTGGTAACTGCCCTTTCCTGCCAGGCCCACACATACTGTCTTTTGGCTGTTAGGGGAGCCTGGGTCCCTGAAGACTCTCATTTGCTCAATAAATCACTACTTGACCCCCAGAGTGGGTGGGAGGGTGAGCCACTCCGTTTTTGTTTTTGTTTTTTTAATTTTTACATAACAAACTCCCTATTCAAAGGTCAAAAAGCCACAGAAGTTTTGATGATAATCATTTTGAACGGAAGCTTGAGATGGACCGAGAGGACTGAGACACAGAAGTGGGGGGACCACGGTCTTTACTGGGTGGATCACAGGGTGACCCTGTCCTCTTGCCTGGGTCGAGGGGCGTGTCTGGGGTGCTCAGGTGGGTTTGTTCTCAGCAATGCAGGCATAGTCAGTTCTGGGATCCTCCTTGGTGCCTCTCTCTTCTCTGTCCCTGAGGTCAGGTCCCTGGCTGCTGGGCACTGGCAGCCTCTGCAGTGACGCATAGTGGAGCTCCTGCTCCGAGGAGCGCTGGGCCTGGGGCTGGGACAGAAGGTGCTGATGGGAGGCCACGCCTTCAGGTCCTTCCCTGTGAGTTCTGCTCCCGCCTTCCTTACTTCCCTGACTCTCTCTCTCTCTCTCTCTCTCTCTCTTTCTCTCTCTCTCTCTCTCTCTCTGTCTTTTTGGAGACAGTGTCCCACTATGTATTCCAGGCTGGTCTTACCGCTGAGCTCAAGCTATCTTCCTCCTTCAGCCTCCTAATAGCTGGAAGTACAGGCGTGAGCCACTGTGCCTGGTTCTGGAGCTTCTCTCTCTCTCTCTCTCTCTTTCTCTCTCTCTCTCCCACTGCACTTTCTCTTTGTGTCTTTTTCACTCTCATTCTCTCCCTGTCTCTCACTCGTAACCTCTCTCTCACTTTTTCTCTTGGTTTCTGTCTCCTTTTCTCTCTCTCGCCCTAATTTTCTCTGCCTACATCATGCTCCTACTTTTCTCTGTCCTCATCTCCCGCCCCCACCCCTCCTCTCAGCGCTCAGCCACGCTTCTCCCCCCTCACCCACTCAGGTCCTCTCTTGCCCTCCCCCTTCCCTGTCCCCAGACTCACCCAGCTGCTCTCCAGCCTCTTTACTGGAAGAAAAGAAGAAGCTCAGCACAGCCCATCCTTTGTGCTTCTCCCGGCCCCTCACCGGCTCCCCACCCCAGCAGGCATGGGCTCCCTTGTTGGCTTCCCCATGGCTCCAGAGCCAGGCAGCGTTCTGGGAAAGCAGCGGCAAAGGGTGTGGGTGGGGCCACAGGGGGCACTAACTCGGGGTGAGGAGGGAGTGCGGCGCTCACCTCTGCGATGCAGCCGACAAAGGCAGACGGACAGAAGGACCACAGCCAGAAGCAGGAGCCCACCCAGTCCCAGGCCCCCATAGAGGTATATATTACCTACAGGGAAAAGGGCTCAAGGTTAGAGACCCCATTCCCTCTCCAGCCTACCCCAGCCTCCTGGTTGGTTGCCGCTTTCTCAGATCCCCTCTCCAACAGTTTTAGAGGCAGAAAAATATACCTTCAGAGCTTCTCCACCCCAGACCTCAATACCTCACCTCCTACCAGGGTACATGCCCTCATCGGTTATCTTGCCTCATAGCTGAGATCACTCACCCTTCAGAGGCTTCCCACTGAAACCCCTGCTGTTTCTGGGCCTCCCATGAGGTCCCTTTCCCTCCTGCATCAGCTGTCCCCAGAGGCTGTCCACCTAGTCATGAGCCGCACACATCACTGTTCCCCATCACCTCCTGAGTCCCAGGACCCTCCCTGTGCAGATGCTAGAGGCCCTTTACTTACACATATCGTCATTGCAATGTGACATTATTAAGTCGGGGATCAGGGACTGGCCTGGAGGTCAAACTAGTCCTTGCTCTTTTAGGTGAAATGATCAGGGGTTAGTCACGTGTCTTAAGTTCCTCATCTGCGAAGTGACGGGCCCTCTGTTACAATCGTTCCCAGGCTGGGGAGCCTCACTTGTGTGCCAACCCTGAGCTGGACACTTTCCATTCCTCACTGCTAATCCCCAGAACACAGGGTATCATGGTGTCCCTTGTCCAAGTAAGGACCCGAGATTCAAGCCTGAACTTTACTATCTCCATCCCAGAAGAGTGGAGCTGGAATTTAAGGCCAGCTCTGCCCAGCTCCAGGGCCTGACCCTTTCCTCTGCCCTGGGCTGACTAGGTGGTTTGAAGGGGCCTTTCCAGCCCTGGATGGTTTTAGGTGCTGGCAAGGGGCTGATGGAGCGGAAGGAGCCTGGGCCTGGGTGGGTGTGGGCACTGGGAGGAAGTAGGGAGGGTGATATCAGCACACCCAGCAGCTGGGTTGCTCCCTGAGCCTCAGAGCAGTGTGGGAGTGTGGGGGCCCCCTTGGCTGGTGTGGAGACCTGCTTCCCACAGGCAGATGTTGCTGGGGCTGAAGTGGGGCATGGAGGAGCGTCTGGGGCCCCTTAACTTCCCCTCAGGCACTTCCTGCCCTTCAACCACTGGTTCCTGTTTGAGGGCAAAGAGGGGGCCACTGTCTTCACCCCAGAGCCAAATATACTGACTAGGGTCTGGAAACTGCAATCCTCCTGGGTTTAAGAGGAATTCTGGAGAGTGGGGAACAGAAGCCCAGGTGGAGGCCATAAGGGCTGTGGGCATAGAAAGGGATTGTCTTTCATTATTTGGGGAGCAGAGACTCAGAGGATTCCTCTACGGTCCAGGGAAACTCAAACCCATACTCTCCCTCCCCTCATCTTAGCTTCACCTGACTCTGGGGTGTGACCATCCTTCCACCAAGTCCCTGCCCATTCCCAGCTTACCCAGAGCCCGTGGCCTGCAGGATAAACAGACTCCAAACTGGCCAGCGCTGTCTGGCTGGAGAGAAGTGTTGCCACTTCAGACATTCCTGCCTCTCCTCTGGCTTTAACTTCTCCCCCAGCCTGGGTTCCTCCCCAGCATTGCTAGGAGAGGAAGTTTGGCTTGAGGGTTAGGGTTACAACATCTTTTCTTTCAAACTCTTGGGCCTGTAGCTAGGGCTGTCATCTCCAGGCATTTCACGGATCCTGCCACTAGTCAGCCAACATCCACCTCCTTCAGGTGTCTTCCTTAGTTAACTTTTCTTTACTACTCCTCACACTGCATCTGTTGAGACTGCTTGATCTTGGTGTATGTGTGTGGACACACACACCCCACTCCCACATCAGACTGGGAGCTCTGGCATATTTGGGGTGACCCACTTGTGTCTGATTAACAAACAGGAGGCAGACTAGATCTACATGAGCCCTGTGGATCCATCTAGGACAGAAAGTTGGTGACAAGTTGGTGACGGAAAGGAGGTATGCGCAATCCAGGTAAACTTCCTGTAGGAGGCAGCTTTCTGGCATTGAAAACAGAACTAAATAAAAGACAGCAGGCTGAGGCCCTCTGGAGAGACCTGGGTGAAGGCTTCTTAGTGGCACTGTGATGGAGAAGGAGATGGGTGCTAGAGGATTGCAGGCTTACTCCTTGGGGAGGGTGAAGACTGGGGAACTCATGTAAGGCAAAGGGTGAGGCGGAGATCTGGTGCTTGGGTGGGTCCATATTCATTTGCATTTCCCCTTCCAAATTCAAGAAACTTCTACTTCCTCCCTCACCCTTCTCCCCATCCTCCATGTTCCTTATGCTGAATAATATTCAGGGTTTTTTACAGTTGATTATTAAAAAGTACACACATGGGCCGGGCGCGGTGGCTCAAGCCTGTAATCCCAGCACTTTGGGAGGCCGAGGCGGGTGGATCACGAGGTCAAGAGATCGAGACCATCCTGGTCAACATGGTGAAACCCCGTCTCTACTAAAAATACAAAAAATTAGCTGGGCATGGTGGCGTGTGCCTGTAATCCCAGCTACTCAGGAGGCTGAGGCAGGAGAATTGCCTGAACCCGGGAGGCGGAGGTTGCGGTGAGCCGAGATCGCGCCATTGCACTCCAGCCTGGGTAACATGAGTGAAACTCCGTCTCAAAAAAAAAAAAAAAAAAAAAGTACACACATAGGATGAAACGAAAAGAATTGAACAGTGAACATATTCTTACCATCTAGACACTACTAGTTAACATTTTTTGCTTTGTTTTTGAGATGGGGGGGTCTCGCTCTGTCACTCAGCCTGAAATGCAGTGGTGAAATCATAGCTCACTGCAGCCTTGAATTCCTGGGCTCAGTGATCCTCCCACCTCAGCCTCCTGAGTAGCTAGGATGACAGGCACCTGCTACCACATGAGGCTTTGTAGAGATGGGTCTTACGATGTTGCCCAGGCTGGTCTTGAACTCCTGGCCTCACGCAATCGTTCTACCTTAGCCTCCCAAAGTGCTGGAATTACAGGAGTAACCCACTGCACCCAGCTCTGTTAACATCTTTTATTTGCTTTATCACATATTTATCAATCCATCTCACTTTTAAATATTTTTAAAAATTACAAATATCAGTACATTTTACATCTAAACCCTTCAGAAACTTCACATTGACTGGAGTTCAGTATTTATTTCCCTATTTCTTTTCTGGTCTGAGGAAGACAAATTTTACATACAAATCTCAAGTCAGCACTTTTTTTTTTTTTTTTTACTGGATTTTGGCCAAAAGGTCGAGAAGTGATCTTTTTTTTTTTGAGATGGAGTCTTGCTCTGTCACCCAGGCTGGAGTGCAGCGGTGTGATCTGGGCTCATTGCAACCTCTGCCTTCCAGGTTGAAGTGATTCTTCTGCCTCAGCCTCCCGAGTAGCTGGGACTACAGGTTTGTGCCACCACACCCAGCTAATTTTTGTATTTTTAATGGAGACAGGGTTTCACCATGTTGGCCAGGCTGGTCTTTAACTCTTGACCTCAAGTGATCCTTCTGACTTGGTCTTCTAAAGTGCTGGGATTATAGGCATGCACCACGGTGCCAGGCCCAGTACTCAGTTTTTAAACTGCCTTGTGGCCAGGTGTGTCGGCTCATGGCTGTAATCCCCAGGACTTTGGGAAGTCAAGGCGGGTGGATCACAAGGTCAAGAGATCGAGACAAGCCTGGCCAACACGGTGAAACCCTGTCTCTATTAAAAATACAAAAATTAGCCTGGTATGGTGGTGTATGTCTGTAGTCTCAGCTACTTGGGAGGGGAAGGCAGGAGAATCGGTTGAACCTGGGAAGTGGAAATTGCAGTGAGCCGAGATTGCGCCACTGCACTCCAGGCCTGACGACAGAGCGAGACTCCATCTCAAAAATAAATAAATAAATAAATAAATAGGCCGGGCGCAGTGGCTCAAGCCTGTAATCCCAGCACTTTGGGAGGCCGAGGCGGGTGGATCACAAGGTCAAGAGATCGAGACCAACCTGGTCAACACGGTGAAACCCCGTCTCTACTAAAAATACAAAAAATTAGCTGGGCATGGTGGCGCGTGCCTGTAGTCCCAGCTACTCAGGAGGCTGAGGCAGGAGAATTGCCTAAACCCAGGAGGCGGAGGTTGCGGTGAGCCGAGATCGCGCCATTGCACTCCAGCCTGGGTAACAAGAGCGAAACTCCGTCACAAAAATAAAATAAAATAAAATAAAATAAATAAATAAATAAATAAATAAATAAATAAAATAAACTGCCTTATCATCAAGGTTCTGCAGCCAGATGCCTGGGTTCAAGTCCTCATTATGCCACTGACTCTGTGAGCTCCATAAGATTCTTAACCTCTCTGTGCCCTAGTTTCCTCTTAGGGTTTTTGTCAGGATTATAATTATTGGCTGGGCATGGTGGCTCATGCCTGTAATCCCAACACTTTAGGAGGCCAACACTGGCAGATCACTTGAGTCCAGGAGTTTGAGCCCAGCCTGGGCAACATGGCAAAAACCCATCTCTACAAAAAATACAAAGATTAGCTGGGTGTGATGGCATGTGCCTGTAACCCCAGCTATTCAGAAGGCTGAGGTGGGTGGATGGAAACAGCCTGGAGGTCAAGGCTGCAGTGAGCCATGATCCCGTCACTGCACTCCAGCTTGGGCGGCATAGCAAGACCCTGTTTCAGAAAAAAAAGTATTAAAGTGTGTAAATCAGTGGCATACACATACTAAGTGCATTTTGTGTATCAGGTACATTATTCTTACTATTACCCAAACACATAGAGATGCTGTCAGGAAAGGGAGATGACTGGGGCCCTCCCAGATTCCTTGGACCTAGACTTGCCTCCCTTGACTCTTTTTTTCCTTTTTTTTTTTTTTTTTTTTTTTTTTTTTTTTTTCCTTTTCTTTTCTTTTTTTTTTCCCGGGTGGGGGGGCACGTTTTTGTAGAGATGGGTTTTTGCCATGTTGCCCAGGCTGGGCTCAAA